CTCAGCAGTCCCGGGAACCAGCCATCATCAGAGATTTCCACCTTCCCAGTGCTCCCACCGTTAGCAGCCTTCTGGCCAGGCAGTCCTCGAGCTGCTGTAAGAGCAGACGGGCTGTCCCAGGAAGCAAGCATCCCCATCTTGTTCGCAGTCCAGAGCACGGGACTGGTTGTGCGTCCTCATCTTGCCAGCCACACAGTCCGCACCATGCCCAGGTTTGCGAACAAGTGTTTCTCAGTGTTTCAGGCCCCGTCCCAAATCCTCTGACAGCCATAGCCACAGCAGAAAAGGGCAGGCCACAGCAGCCACCACACATTAGCCCTCGTCTTTATCGTTCGCTGGCGAGCTCACGCAGCATCCAGACCCAGGCTGCACTAGCGCCACAGTCGCGGAGGTTGCGGAGGTTAGGTAAGCCATGGCTGCACCAGAGATCTACGTGTGTGTTCCCGGGTGCTCATTGTATGACAGGGATACACCCGTCAGCACCAACACTGGGCCTGCCGGGGGTCCATGCGGCCAACCATCCTCCCTGCCTTCTCGCAGGGATAACCCGCGTGCAAAAGCCTCATTTGGTAACTGGGTGGCAATGCGGCAGGAATGCAGGGATAAACCCGCAGCCATTGCTTCTCATCACCCACTCAGAAGCATCACCCATCGACCAAGACTTAAGGCTTACCTAAGGAAGGTGCGGGGGTTGGGAGACTAAGGCCGTGACAGTCACAGAAGGTCGCAGCAGTAAAAACAGCAGTGCAAAGTAGGTCAAGGGCTCTCCGAACCAACACAGACGGGGGCAAGTACAAAAACAGTACAGGGCAAGGCAAGTGCAGCGACTAAAAACAGTGCCGGGCAAGGCAAGTACAGCGACAGCAGTCAGGCAAGCAAGAGAGGCAGCAAAAGCAAGGCATAAAAATCAGTGCAAAGGCAAGGTGGGACAGTCTAACCTCGCTTCAGCTTCTAACATGGAGTACATGGACACGTTCGTTCCCTGGCATGGTCTCTCACTAAGGTCCGAGCCACCTTAGCTCTGCAAGAACGATCCTACCAGGTTCCGAACCACAGCTTTAACCTGTCCTGTGCTCTGAAAGGAAATCTTGCACAGCTTGGTCTGCAGGAATTGATTTCCGGAAACGGCTCAGAGGAGTCAAGGCAAGGCAGTCAGTGCAAAAACAGACAGTTCGGGTATTGTACAGTGTACTGCGTAAAGCTATGGTACATACTAGGGCAAGGTAAGGCAGTACAAAAACAGTGCGTGGCAGGCAGGCAGCCGCCTGCAAAACTGAGGCCGAACTACTTCGGTGTACATGCAGCATCCTAAATTCTTGGGTTCAGGCAGCTGCCGCAGACTCAGGAACAAGGAAGGGCTCCCCGTTAACCATGAGATTCACTTGCTTCAGTTCACTCAGCTGTTGGTGTGCCCCAGCAGCTTGGACCATCTGTCCCACATTGGCAGACCCAACTACGTTCCCGCCGTCGACGAAGAGGTCAGGGGGTTCATAGGTGGGCCTCCAGCGTAACTGTAGCTTCTCATGCTCTCGGGTTCAGGGCGGCAGCGACAGACTCCGGGACGAGGAAGGACTCCCCGTTGACCATCAGATTCACAAGCTTCGGTCCAGCTTGTTGTTGGTTGGCGCCTGCGACCTGGGTCATCTGTCCTAGGCTGGCAGGCCCAACGACATTCCCTGGCAGTGCAGAGGCAGTCGCTGGGTTCCACATCACTGTCTGTGGAGTCTGCATTTGTTGCAGGGGTACCCCAAGCGTCTGCATTTGCTGGGGCATAGCCTGAATTCCAGCCGCCTTTGCTTGCGTCTGGCCCCACTGGCCAGGCGGGGCAGTGGGCGGTGGCGGATCCACCGTCTGCGTCACATCAGGAGCCGGAAAGGGGGGCGGTGGCGCCTTTGGTCGTAGCGGCACTCCGCCTTGTAGGTG